AGATGGTGAACCCGTCAATGTTGTAAAGCTTTTGGAATGCATTGTATTAGGAAAAGATGCGGAATTAATAACTAATAGAAAAGAAAATCGCTACCACTGAATACAACATTAAACAAGTATCGATCTGATCCAATCTTCTGTGATCATGATATTATTATTTTTTATGGACAGTTTTATATCAAATATTGTCTAAGATAGTTTATAAATTCAATATTAGGCCAAATTGGGTTGTCTTCGTAGCCGAAGTTAAGTAAAGTATGCTGTATCAATTTATTTAACTGAAATGACGGGATAATTAAGTGACGACTACAAGTAAATACTGAAATATTTTACTGTTTAAAATGATATTCTCGAACAAAAGAAATTTCAAAACTTCGTTTCTGCTTCTAGAAGTGATAGTCGTTTACATCTAAAAATGGTATTTGTTAATTGTCTAAAATGACCAATTGAAAAGTAATTTCAAAAGTGAAGGCGAAACACACTTCCTATAATATACCCATAAACGGTTGAATGTACCAACATGGTTCAAAATAGAAATCAATGAATTCATAGATTTGTTTTTCATATTGCATATCAGCCATCAATTTTGTTCTCACATAGTATTTCAGTCATTAATTGGAATGCTTTACATAACTTTTATCTCATTAGACTTAAAAATGGATCCCATTACAAAGTGCCTGAAAATGTCAATTATTAAAAGCAAATTTTACAATGATTGAAAGGTTAATAATAAGTGATTAACTGAAAGTACTTCAAATTGATATCACGAATGGATCAATGTTAGATCACAATTGAAAACCTGGAAGTACTGGATGACCGTTTTATCCTAGTATAGGACTCCTCATCAACGAGCATGCACAACTCGCACAAGGGACTCAAACCCAGGACCTTAGGTCTCGCGCACAAACTCGTAACCTCTAGACCACTGCTGAGAAGTCCCATACTAAAACGAAACAACCATCCAGTGCCTCCAAGATTTCAATGGGGATCTAGCACTGACCCATTCATGATATCGATCTAACCTCAACATTCTTCACAACCCTATACTGAAAATAGTCCATAAATTAGAAGTATAGAGTGTAATTATCCTTTCTTGTTTGCTCTTTACTAATGATGATAAATACAAAGGAGGATCTACTGAACGGTCGTTTCCAGGTTTTCCATGGTGGTCTAGCTTCAACTGACTCATGATCTCAACCATTGAAATTACTACAATATCCACAGAACACCTTCTGATATCAGGATTTAGTTTACTATCACATTCTATCCATTTGTATTGAAAAAAAAATCAACAAACTATAACCACGACATAAAATCTCTTTAATATACAGTTCAATAGTTATTTATTCATGTCTTGTCACGCATTTTAAAAGAATAAAGAAGAGAAGGAAATTATTGAAGATAAAGTATGATAGCAAACTATTCATTTGTATATCTTTTGAAATGAATTTAAACTTTCACTAAGATAAATTTGCGATATTCTTCAGTGTTAAAATTCAATTATTCAAGCGTATAATCAATGCATTTGAATAAGTAAATAATGCATTATCAAAATTCAGTAATGTATGAAAGATGAATTAGTCAATTTTATTCAATATTGTCTTGAATGAACTAAATTGATAATAAGATAAAAAAAGTTTGATCAACCAATAAAGGCGAATAATAAATAAATTCATATTATAGATTAGACTGCTCATCGTGTATTTTATGTGAACATGTCTCAGAATTAATAGGCACTAAATGAAAAAAAAATCTAGAACAAATTATATAAGCGAACAATATTGTTTCCAATTACATCTTCGTCAGGTTTTACTCTAATATATACAGTAATATTTATATGCATATAAGAAATTATTAAACCAATCAAGACAGTTTATGAGTCAATGATAATAATGGGATAGATTACATAAATAAACATTATAAGTGAAAAGCACAAATTGGTACTGTGATGACAGGTGTACTAGTCTTGATAAGAATAAGAAAAGCTTAAATCAATATTACATAATCAGAAATAGATCAATAAATGGAAAAAGATAGACACTGAAATAACATTCATGGAAAGATTATAAGATTACGTAATAAAAGGTGTTTAGATAATTGGATAATGAAGGGCATATTTCAGAAAAGAAAATGGTGGGAAGGGGTGACGAAAAATAAACGAAGAAAGAGTATGGAAAATAATAATAGCTCAGTAAAGACAATGGTGCATGGTGGCGCAATTTCGTGGATTGGATGAAGTTAGACATTAACACCGTTGGATGCCGGCTCAGTGGTCTAATGGTTGAGCGTTCACGCGCGCGAGACTGGTAAGTCTTTGGTTTGAATCTCGCGAGGGGCGTGTTCGTGGATGTGCACTGCTGAGGAGTCCCACAATAGGACGAAACGGTCATCTAGTGCTTCCAGGTTTTCCATGGTGGTCTAGCTTCAATCGACTCATGATTTCAACTAATAAAATAAATAAAATCATTTATTAAGGCTATGGGAGAGATAAGGGTGTTACATATTTCTTATGAACACAAAGACTTGGATTGTCGGCTCGAATTCCTAAAGCTTCTGCTATGTGTAAAAGATGAGATAAAACACCATAAGGAAAACTAGTAAGAATACGATAAATAACCTTAAATGATTTATTTCTGTCTACTACATGACCGCTATCGATCAAGTGTGGTAGAACCGAGCTCCATATTGTCTTGAAAGTACATTTTTCTCACCATTAAGGTAGGTGTTCAATAACTCTTAGGTTTAGTTGTCTGGTAGTGCACACAATATAGCTTTCTCCACAGGAGCAGCTGAATTCGTAAATACACACAGAAGTGACATAACCAGGTAGCTTATCCTTTAGTTGGGGAATCACCATAGATCGGGTCGAATATGATAGACATAGGTTGGGTGCATTAAACGTTCTCTTCACTTCTCTAGTCAATCTATCACGTGATACATGTCAGCTACATATGTTAATTAAGTTCTGTTGTTTACCATATTACGTAAATAAAATAGCAGAACTAATGAGAAGTATGAATTTTAAGTGGAATTGTTATACTATAACATAAAATCTACCAATCGAATAAAGATCGTGAGAAAGTAGAATAGCCCGATAGAACGAAAAGAAACGCATCAATGATATTTAGATTGGTGTTTCGATTAAGAATTTTTGATAACTCAATGATCACAAATCTTACTAGAAAAGATCCACATATATCTTACATCAATCGATTACTAACAATAAGAATTATCACGTTTATGGATCTAATTCTTTCTTAATCACTATTGGGTACTAGTTGTGTTTAAAAACGTTTATCACAGCACACATTTATTAAACTTTATAGTTTCGAAAATTAGTTAATCAGTAAATTACGCTCACTCAAACTAAGGACTTAATTTATAAATCATTTGCTATCTGATATTATAATTCAGTGTATTTTTTGTAAGTAATCATTCATACAAACATATCATATTCCTTGATACAAGTGTTCAAATGCCTATCTCGGATAATATATATCTTATTAACACACAACCAGTCCGAAACAAACTAGTAAGAATTTGTATATTTGTTAAAAAATACGCTTTTGAACAAAACACACAAATAGTGGTCCCGTTTAATTTACATTAAAACAAAATGAGCGACACTATTTGCACAGCACAAAAAATTCATTATATTTTACCACTTTCTCTGTGGTTGCATAAAAGCTATTAATTTTCTGGTTAGTTTTGAAATATTGACTTGTGAATTAAAAACTGAATTGTTCATCAGAGAACGGCAAGTTGTTTGAAAGATAAATTGTAATCAAGATCAAATTGAAATGTCAACAAACTACTTGTACATAGTTGAAGGCTTTGGTGAAAGAGATATCTGATGAATTTCTTGATCATTCAATCAAGTAATCAAGTAATTAACATATCCAGTACAAACATAAACAGAATTCGATTTTAAACTATATTAATAACTTTTAAACTGTACACCTATAACAAATATCTTCAAATGAATTGATATAGAAGCTCATTTTTAAAATCTAGATAATCAGTTATCTGAGCTGAAGCCATTTGTCGAAAATAAACACATTTGGTTGACGTTCAAGTTGGCTAATACTGTTGAATAATCCGTAATAAATAAAGTCAAATATATGTCTAGAAAATCAGAAAATTCTTCAATAATCTCTTTCAGAAGGAGCAGCTTGTGGATATTATAGTAGTTTTAACAGTTGGGATTATTAGTTAATTTAAGCTAAACCACCATGGGAAACCTGAAATCACTGAACGACCGTTTCCTTCTATTGTAGGACTCATCAGAAGTGCTGATTCACGGTCCCGCCTTGCGAGCTTCGAACCCAGGACCTATCGGTCTCGCACACGAACGCTTAATCTCTGGACCACTAAGCCGGTTGGCATCCAATGGTGTTAATGTCTAACTTCAACTAATCCACTAATCTTCTCTTTCATTGAAGTTTTAAATAGTGATTTATATGTTAAGACGTTTCTAAACTTGTCCTAATTTCATGTTTTAATTAATGACATGAACAAACTTTATTGAGTATTAAAAAACGTTTCCGATTACAGACAAAAATCATCCAACGAACCAATGAGTATCAGTCACCATCAAACATATAACACATGTTGTCCTTAGAAAGCCAAATAACATGAATACTGAATAAAATAGTTAATGTACTCGTAATTCTCATTAATTATTCAAATAATGTTTCTTTTAGATCAATATGAAAAAAACTATTTTCAAACCCAACTTATTCCTCTTCCATCTCAAAGTCATAACAAACTGTATATCTCATTTAACCACCCCCTAAAAAAGCAATCAAATGAAGTTTTTACAAAATCTGTAATTATATTTTCTGTTTTTTCTTCGTTTAAAATGTAAATTAAAAGTATGATAGAAATATATGAATGGTACTTCATACTTTTTAATGGCAATTATCTGTTCTATGCCCATACATACAGACAAACATATTTTTAGGTAAACTAAGAAAAACCTTCCATGTTATTGTTTTTGTGTGTAAATTCTCAATGACGAAATGTCTGGGTTTCTTTTTATACGTTAATTAACTTTACGGATAATTGTTTATACTTGTTAGTACACTACATAATTAAATAATGTTTTGTTTTCTATTTTTCTCTTTTATATTACAAATTTTTTTTATCACTTATATAGTTAATGTTGGCAAATGAAATTTCTCTTCTTTATTTTCATTTATGAAACGATTGTTTTCTTTAATTTGTGAAGATAGTTGATCAGAAAGTAGATTATGTTCATAATTATAAATGAATTTTGGTTCTGACAGAGTTCCTGTTGCTGGTAATGGAGATAAGGATGAAGAGGATAAACTATCAAAAATAGAATTTTGTTTATTACTTATAGTAATCTCTGGTAATAATTGACTATTTGCTGATAATCTGCTATTTTTTACCTAAAACAAAGATGAAAAAAAGTGAAATATAAGATGTATAGAATGAATTTTAATAGTTTTATTTACTAAAAGACTAAACAAGCTCAACAAATGATCACTTCATGAATTATTAGGAGGGAAAAAGCAAACTTCTCATTATGCCATTATAAAGAATTGTCTACTTTACTGTGAAACACACGATGGGTAATGTTAGATTCGCCAAATCAACCATTATTGACCATTTGCTTTTCATACTTTTTGATAAAAAATAATGTCTGAGGATAAAATTACAAGTGAATTAATTCATTAGTGATTAGCTGACTAAAGATCGAAGTAAGTGTAAGCTAATGCTTACTCTGTTTAAAAAGAATGATGAAGTTAATATTTTGAAATACTGTTCGTCAACATAATCATTTGGGTTAGTGAAACGTAGGTGAATTTATTCATATCAAAAAAATTACGTTGCAGTCGATGTAGTCATTGCGTAAAATATACTTGATATCATTCAAACAGTAAAGAAATATATTTCCATTCAAACTGTGACAAGATTTTATTTATTATTTATTTGAACACATAAATACTGATAAAAAGGAGCACCGAATACATATGCGTCACATAAATCATTCGATTTGTGGGAGGGCTGGAATATTTCCCGGGTGTCCAGGCTGAAGCAGGTGTTTTTCTCAGGAGGGCCACACCAGGAGCCTTCAACTTAAGGATCTGATCTACAAGGCAGTGGAGTAACGTCAGAAGATGTAGTCCCATGGTAACCCGTGATCAATAATTGGTCAATAATTGTTCCCTCAGGATACTGGAGCCCATGTACACCATTGGTTTTGAATCAGGGTTTTCCAACTCCCCTAAGTAGACCCATCAACCCGGTTAAAGCGCCGGACATTCAAATTTTGTTCTCTCAATTACGTACTCAACACCCCCACCGAGAAAAGGCAGTAAGTTGGACTTCCCTGGCAGTGGCTGTATACGCGTGGCCATGTGAGAGCATTTGGAGAGGGAGAGCTAACTCTCCCCACCGTCGGCTGCATCAGTGCAATGATAAGATTGGATTCATAGCAAGGTTTTAAATATGAAATCATAAGGAAATCTATGCTAATACAAAACAATTGTTAAATATTCACTAGTTTTCAAGATTCCATTATATAATATTTATTTGTGATAAATCTCAACTTCATATTATGAAGATCCTATCATATTCAAATAATTATCATATATGAACTTACATTTCCTTTCATTCCATAATTGTTATTTTAAAAAATTTGTCATCCTTTTAAGAGAGAAAAAAAGAAATCCCCTTATAATTATTTACACTAACCTGTTTCAATATTGTTGATGATTTACAAGAGCATCCTAATAAACGTTGATGTAATTCAAGTATTTTAGATTTTAGAATATTTTGAGCAAGTATAAATTCATTATATTCTTTTGATCTTATATTTTCATATAATTGTTTCATTGTTTGTAATTCATTTTTAAAATGATTATTTAATTCCTCTTCTTTTAAACTTAAAATAACAAAGAACAATTCAAAAATTTGTGAAATTCGATTTAAGGAATTAGAAGGGGTTTTGTGAAGATTGTATTAATTTCATTAGTTCTGTTTGAATCCCGCTAGCCGGGATCGTGGATGCGCATTGCTGAGGAGTCCCACAATAGGACGAAACGGCCGTCCAGTGCTTTCAAGTTTTCCATGGTGGTCTAGCTTCAATTGACTCATGATCTTAACTTATGAAATTAGATCATGGTTATATTGAATTCGTTTTAATCTATATTAATTCTAATTTACTGAATTTCGAACTTCTTAGATAAATATATTAACATCAAAGTAAATAGTTCTATTTTTACTAAAATACAAATACATCAATTATGTTTTCAACACATGTATTATTCCCTGACTTGATCAGTTATGAAAATTGTTTTTAGTCATTACTAATCATTACTATTAAAACGAAAGAACTACTTGTCAGTAGTTTTTTGCGCATTAATGAGGAGATAGATGAATACATTTTTGTGATCAGTAACGCATGATATTATACTTAAAGAATAACCTGTCTTTTGAACCAACAAATGTCAATCTTCTGGTTTATAATTGTAAACACTGATCACTTTTAATTCACTGTTAATTAATAATAAAACAGTTGTCATAATATTTGCATGCTGAAATGTTAATATCTAAGAAAATGTTCACCTATTTTTCATTATCTACTTTGTTATATCACTATCATATAAAATATATCTTCTAAAAGACTACTATGTACATGGTTTCTTTATAAGTGTAAACTGAACTGATATGAAGATGAATTTTTTAGATCACTATTGCCCGTCATAGACGTATTTATAAAAAAAGTTTATTCGCTCTAATTTGACATTCCTGAGTAGTCTATATATGTGTCTATATGTTGGATTGAACTATGAATTTTCAGATCCCTCAGCTAACTATGTACTACTGAGTTAACATAATCGAATCCTAGTAAGCCTTATTTTTAATTAATATCCGCTTTTTGATATAATTTTATTCTTGTTAACAATATACCTACTAAATATTAACTTTGAAATAGACTGTCTGAAGTTCTAATAGAACTTGTTAAACCAACGAAATGATACTTAAACTAATGAATTATAGATAATATTGGAAAGAATCCTACTACATAAATTATTCAGCAAATCACTATCGACATATGCTTACGTTCATAAACAAAACTTTTACTGAATATTTATAAAAATGTTAGTTGACTTGAAGCCCACCTTAATTTTTCTTCATTTGCCAATTTTTCATCTTTTAACTGACATTTAAGTTTAATATGTACCTCCTGAAAATCTGTTTGAGATTGAATAAATTCTTTAAGTAATTTATCATAATTAATTTGAGCTTTTTTCAGTTCAATTTGTTTTTGTTTAAGTTCTTGTTCATATTTTGTTATCTATAGGGAGTTAAATAGGTAGATGTTTAGTTAAAATCTAATATATAACTGATAGTCAATAAATGTAGTTGTTTTTAAAGATAACTAAAAAAATAACATCGACCTAAATACATAATAATCAAGAAAATATTTGTCCTTATAAAATATTTACTTATAATTCACCTCATCTATTAATGGATTGATAAGACTATAAGAAACTATAAATAGTTGACAATAAAAGAAAAATAAAATGATTTTCATTGATATAATAATATTATTAGGTTAGTAAAAATAAATATCATTGTTATTATTTCACAGCATATGAAATAGGTTGACAATCATGATTACTTTACTACGTTTAAGATTGCTCTTATTGATTATCCATGGATATTTTTCAAAATTCAGCTAAATCTTTACGAATTGTAATACTTCAAAATGGTTGAAAGAATGTTAGAGGCGGTCAAAACAAAACGTGGCATCAGTGCTTGAAGTTACTAGCTTCTGGTCTGAGCCATATTGGTAGATGCCGAATATTTGGTTGGGGTCCGTGCGACTATCGTAACCAATGGTTGGATACTCTGGGTGACATGGCTCAGAATCGATCACAATAGCGTAGGTGTATACAGTTTCTGTCTTCCCTTAAACTATGAGATTAAAGTTATTTCATATCTTTCTTTCTGCGAATAAATTCTTTCTTCCTGTACTATGTCCTTATATGTAATCTTTCTTTTGTATATTACCACCATTGAATTAATCACTTCTATGAATCCAGTGTTCATCTTGCTGTGCTAATGAGATGTAGCAACTTGGACCGATGCATATATGTGCCCGGTCCTACGTTGTAACTGACTGATTGACTGACTATATACAGAATAATACTTTATAATGGTAGAACAATTTTTGATAATCTGATCACGAAAGCAAATTTACAAAACATTTAAATGCGTAATAGAACTACGATGCTACTGAATATTCACTTTAAAAGTATTTACAATAAGAAAATTAATGTTGATTATAATTGAAATTAATGTGCTAACATCAAATCATCCAGTCAAATAACAGAAGGAAAAAATTATTTTTCTATAAGTGCTATATCTTTGAGATGGTTAGATTCAGTTAAAAGGCTCAAATAGTCATATATCGAATGATGAATATAGTTGATTTGTAATGTTTGTCTATTTCATGAAACCACCTAAATCTCATTATCATAAAATATGATGATTTCGTGATGATGGTAATCCATTTTGAAGTAACATTTCACATTAAAAATTAATAAAACATCTTCAAAAACTCCGCCCTTTTTTCTTTGATGCACTCAGATAGCAGAACATTTTTTTCAGAATCTTAAATTTGTAACCATGATAGATTTACAACAGCGTCTTATCTCATTATGGCAGTATTCCCTATTCTTTTAAATAAAACTAACTTTCCATTAAAAATTAACTACTAAATGAATAAAATTCAGAAACCATTGTATTGAAAATATGAATTTCAAAGAACCACTAACTTTACTCCATTGGTCCAGGTTGTAGAAAAATATTGTTAAGTACGTGTTTTTTGCCTAAACTATTATTATTATTACTACTACTACTACTACTAAAAAATAACACAGTTAAACCTGTCCAGATATTAATCCTTCTATGGATTTAAATATAAACTATTTAATTGGCATACTTGATTATTTTCATTTTCATCTATATGATAATTGCTTTGTTCAATATACAACTTTTGATCAGTTTCGGTACTCGAATCAATCATTATAGAATTCTTGATTTCATTATTAATAATTTCATTATTTTCCATTTTATTTTTCTTTTAAAAAGAAAAATAAAGAAAGAAAAAAACTTTTTTTCTAATTTTATAAAAGGAAATAGAAAATTATTTATTAAGGAAACACGAAAGAATAATAAAAAGGAATAAAATAAAATAATGAATGTATGAGTTTCGTGACTGTCAAACAACAAATCAAAACAAAAAAATAATTTCTACAATTTCATATATAAAAAAATCAACAGAACATAACTAACTTACTAAATTAAGATAAGAAGGTAAGTATTAAACGAATACAGTGTTTCATATAATAGTTATGTAACATTGTATGTATGTAGGCAATTTTCTAACTTCTTAAGAATGTAAATAATTGGTAGTTATTATTCATATTATTAACATGATTTGTTTATCAATTTTTAGGTTAATAAACACTACAGATGAATAATCACTAATAGGTTAACAAAATCAAATTTGTTAGGAGTATAGAGTTTCTGATGGGATTAAAAATTGATTAATGGTAGCGATAAAAAGAACATTCAATGCAGCAAAAATACAAGTGACGTTCACTAGTAGGAACTTGTTTTCTTCTGGTCACCTCTATGTGTATTTAACAATTCATTTGCTCTTGTGGAACAAGGCACATAAGACGTAACCGGCTGTTGTTTTCAACTCAGATACGAGAACATGTCCCATTTTGGTCCTACAATGATGAGAAGAAAGCAGTTAGAAGTTCAATTCTTAAACATCTTACCGACTCTCGTCATTCCACTGATCCACAGGTTGATTTTGAGGTTATGTATATAATTCGTCCAAATCTACTTATATTTCTTCATATCCAACTCTTTAAAAATGAGAAGCTCTTGCGGTTCATAAAATAAAGCTAGAACTGTGCGTACAAAAGAGGTATGTCTTATCCTAACCTTTAGCATGGCCTTAAACTATTACTGTTATTATAAATCGTATTTAAAAATATCCTTCTCTCCGAATATTTCTTATATCCCAATGAATTTATTTACAATTGCTTCTGATATCACTTCACTTCATTTAACAAAAATGTTTTATTCATCTTACTCCATTCACACTATAACCCGTTGTAAACCTAATAATTTTACTAGGCTTATAATTTGCATGCATACAATCTTTTATTGTTATTATTTCCAGTACAAAATGTAGTATAATAATCTTCCTATTGAATCATCATGTTTATTCTTTGTTCATATGTCCTCGAGGAACTATTACTTACTTAGAATATTACTATAACCTGACTGTAGCTACTTCCTTAACATGTTAGTCAGGTTCGTCTGAAACACGTGTTCTTTTAGGTCTTATCGTGTCAGATAGGTCCGTTTGTGAACGATAAAACTAAAAGAAGCCACTTAATGTCTGAGGGCAAAGTAGTGCTAAAGGAGGTCGCTAAGACCACTACTGATTCAGCTTCCGTTTCAGGTTCATGAGGAGGATATATTCTTCCACAGCGTGGGCAGCCGGGAAGTGACAACAGCCCGAAATCATATTGTTTACGATAAAATCCTTGCCTCATTTCTTAATGGTTCCTCCATCCCCATGACAAAACCTTCCCACTTATCTTTATCATCACGCGCCACCAATGTCGATAATTCAAGTTCATGAAATGTTATTCTCTGTCTCTTGAAATCACGCTCTAAACTATATGTTAGAGCTTTCAATATTTGAACTTTTCATCAGATAGGAACACAGGCTTTTTAGCTAGGAATCTAGAACCCCACTCCATCGATGTATGCCGCGCCTCAGAAACGCGTATACAGGATTCAAGTACAGTCACGCATTTGTCATCACTTGTCAGCATAACGAATCGCCACGATTTACCCTTCAAGTACCTGGAGATCCCACTGCTACTCCCTGTGGTCCCTTTGGTGTAGGTGTAGCATTAAGTTCAAAATCAGAAAATGCTCTTCTGGACTTAGTTCCAACAGACAGCCACTTGTGTGCTGTACGACTAAACGGAATGGTAAGAACTCAAAAACATAGGGACATAAGCTGTTGCCTTTTCGTTGTTCTTGACACTCTCCCACTGATTGCAGCCCGGACAAAGTTTGAGATGAATTTCATAGGAAGATATCTAACCTTCAGAAATCTAGACGCTCTGATGTAGAGATGACTGCAGGTGTTTATTTATTTATTTGAACACATAAATATTGGTACAAGGGGGCACCGGAGACATATGCGCCACACAATAGTAATGAGAATAAGAAGAGATAAATGATGTAAGGTGTGTGTATGGTAGTGAAATAGTAATAATAATGGGGTTATTTTATGCTGATGTAGGTAAACCAAAACAAACTGGAAGGCGCTTTGGCGGATCTTACGGAGTTGCGGCTCGACTACCGGATAATGGTGACCCTCTGTTGCAACTGTGCTCAAATAAATGTCTGTTCCTAACAAACACCAGCTTTAAACATAAGGAGAACCATTGTCTGACGTTGCGACCTATAAAATCGACTCATCGATGGACTCAAGTAGGTCACTATACCATTACTCATGGCTGGAGGGGCTCGAAGGAAGATTGTCACTCACTCTGGAGCATATATTTGGACTCGGATTATGCTCCAGCTCGAGCACCTACTTATCTGCATCTTACTGGAAAGTAGGAAAGAAAACCCCTTAGACTTCAACTTAATAATTGTAAACATAAGAATATATTACAGGAACAACTCTATTAATAACATTTTACAATTAATTATTTAAAAACTAAAAAAAAATAGATTCACACTTACTAATTCCTCATCAGTTTGAACACTTTGATCAATATTTTTTCTTATGTTTTCTGACAACTGATTGATGTGATCACTTGACGAAAATAAAATAACATTTATATAGAAAGAATAAATATTTCTAAATAATTATATTTACAAGCAAATATAGATAGTGGCTATCAGTGGAATTCAGGGTGCGCGTTTCGTCCTATGTGGGACTCGTCAGCTGGATGTACCTGAATCCCAGAGTCCATGTTCACTCTGGGACTCGGACCCGGCACAGTTCTGTTCAAACAAAATCGCGTTATCCCAGAGTTAACATCAGCTCTGTAATGCACGTACATCCAGGTGGTAAGTTTCGGACAGGACGAAACGCGTGTCATAAATTCCACCGCTACCCACTATCCATCTTTGCTTATAATGCTTGTGAATTAAATAATATCGAAGCAATGTGCACACTATGCACATATGTCAATAAGAGACTGATCAACTGCAGTCCTGAACATCAATGGGAAGTTTCAAGAAAACAATACCAGGTGAATTATATGTACATCTATTAAATGTAATTTCATTACATAGAATTCTATTAATTCGTATTTTATAAAGAAAACAATCATACATCATTGTATGACAGTCTTTGGAAATCTATGTTACTATTTACAGAAATTTTGTTGTTTAGGTCAATAATGAAAAATAATACCATTTAGAGGAATAACAATTTAATTAGAAAATATTTTAGATTATAGATTCATTTATAAAATTTAGTCTTGTAACACTAAATAATAAAGATTAAAAGTGCAATTATTAATTTGTCTCGTGCGCAAGACACATAGGACCTGGGTTCAAATTTCTCGAGGTGAAAGTCCCACAATAGTACAAAGCGGCCATCCAATGCTTTCAAGTTTTCCATGGTGGTCTAGCTTTAATTGACTCATGAATTCAACTATTAAATTACTATAATTTCCATAAAACCTTGCTCTGATTTTTTCAATCGTCTACATAAAAATTTACTAATATATACAAAAAGATAAGTAAAACATAGATTATTAGTCCAACAATCAGATATCATGTTCTATTCAAGCTTTTTTTTCAGATTCCTAATATTGTTCAACTCTTTATACACTTTCAATTAAAACAGCATAAACATATCTTTAAAGAAAACAACTTAAGAGATCAATAAGGGATAAATCCATGACACTGGTGTACTATATTCCTAATTGTGATGTAATCAAGCTTTAGGTATGTATTTATTATTTCGCCTTTAATAAAAATGAATATCTTCATACAGTGTTTAATTATATATTAATTTTCATATAAATTAGTACAATTTCTGTTAAATGTACATTATATTTGATTATTAAGCTAGACATACCTTGATTTTTCTTTATTTATCTGTTCTATTACTTGATCAATATTATTACAAGACTGATCTATTTTATTCATTTCTATTTTCATTTCCCATTGTTTATTCATAGTTGTGATTGTTTTTTCATAATTATTTGTGATCTCTTCTAATTTTGCTTTATACTGCGATTCAAACTGATGCATTGTTTCATTACGTACACGTGCACATTCACGACCTACAGTTTCAGACCATTTACGATCAAGTTCAGCAACCAAATCGGTGAATCTTGAACTTTTTTCTAACTAAATAAATAATTTTTTGATAAAAAAATTAATCAATAAATAGAATTTCAAAAAAACAATGCTGAAACCCTGTATTAGTTATTTTTTAAAAATAAATTCACAATGATTGAAAATAAGGATAAAACAGAAAGAATCAATGAGTGGATGAACGAATGAGGGGATGGTAGAAAGAAATTTCGTTTTCTTTGAAGAATACACATCCGATTGATTGTAACAACGCAAAAAATTGAAAAAAAACAGTTGAGTAGACAATAAAAAATAAAGAAAAAGAAAAAAAGAAATAAGAAACACAAATAAGAATGAGAGAACAGGTGAGCAATATAAAACATTTTCACATGATCATCTAATTTAATTTGATCACATATCCACAAGTTTAACTTTTTTCTATAAATAAAATAAAACATAGAAGAAAATAATAAAAAGAAAAAGAATAAAAGAGAATAATCCTTTTTGAACTTAAATAGAAAACAAGGTGGAGTACAAAAAACGCTACATAAACATATTGAATAATATTAGGAAACTTTTCTTGAAGTTCACAGAATTAGATTTTATTTACTAAATCTTTTTCTAAATAAGAAACAATCCGATATCCATCATTCACGTATTACTTTGATTAAATTATAGCTCTGTCAACATGAAAACATTACAAATCATGGTTATGGACATTGAAATACAACCAACTAGGTGTAAATTAATCAATATTTTGGTATAATATTGTGATAATTATGTTTATCCTCTAATATAACATTCAATCAAATAATTATTCTAGTTTATTGATATACTCACTAGTAGTATCACGAAAATCAATCGAATTTCCTGACATCTATCTTGTCTATTAAATGAATAAACTTTGAGAATTATTAACTTTAAAGTAAACGATCTTAATCTTTAGATCATGACATTCCCATCAGAAAAACTTTATCACAAAATTCTTTGAATGAATTCATTAATCATAAGATAGACAACAATCAAAAATCAATAAATTCTAGATAATCATATTTACTATGATCATCATATATATTAACTGAATAATTTACATTTTCGCTATAATTGAATTAATAGAAATCATGTACTGATTTTCTTTTATTAAATCAGTTTATTTTTAGATTCATTGATAATAATACGAAGAATATGAAGTTAGTTTGATGAGTTTATTGTCATGGTATACAGAGAGAAGGTTAAAACCACTTGATGACTGATAATACAGAAGTTTTAGGATTATCTGATTGATATATGTATTTATTTAGACTTCTTAATTGTATTATGTATGTTAACTTTACACCTTGTCATTGGTTAACAACATAGTTATAGTTTCTATAAAGAATTACAATAAAAATCTACACATATGTGGGAATACTCATCAAATGAGTACATATACAATTAGAGTTCCACAAAATTAAAGTACTTTTCAAGTTAATCAACGTTATGTTCTTCACCAAATATAAACATCCTTTTTTAAGTACCTTACCATCAACTTAACATTCAGTTTATAGGTGCTTCATTCATTATATTATAGTCTGACGATATGTAAATTGTAGAAAATGTGTCGTACTCATACATCATTTTCATCTATTACCGGGGTTAAATAAGTGAATGTCATCAGTGTTTGTGATCTAATCAAGCGTTATTGGATTCGAATTTCTCAGTGCTAAATTCAAGCCAGTTATAAATTCATCAGTTATTAAAGAAACAGATATAACAATGATTACATTAAAAATGTATTCAATATTGACGTCTGTAAACCAAGATAAACTGATCAATTCAACGGGGATAATATAAACATTGATAATTAATTACTACACATTATTTTCATTAAATAGGTTGATTCCTATAACAATTAGTGGTCAAATATATAACATTTTAAGTTCAATGTAATGGGTAATTGGTTCAAATTTTAGTGTAAATCTTAGCGCTAAAATACAAATTTACTTAGCTTATAAACATTCAAATTGAACAAAACGTATGATTCGGATTTCACCCTTATCCACTAATCATAAATGTTATTAAACTAAAATTTCGTTACCCCAATAAGAAACTCTTTAAAACTCTTAAATCAATCTTTAACTATTTAATAATTAGTTCTGTTTCACTGCATTAAATATTTTTCCTGAAATTAACTTGAGTTTTCTATTTTTACCATTAAAAATTTTAACAACAAAAAATTTAATATTCAAAGTGAAAAATCTATCCACAATAGCGTTTATGTGTAACCTGATACAATGAACAAATGTGGACAATTTCAAATTTAAAGTAATAAATTATTATCTAAAAAAGTTAAGAAATTGAATTTGTCTTTCATACTGTATACGGATACAAATAATGATCACGATCATTTAAATAAGTGAATAAACATATAAACTATAAAAGTATACTAACTAGTCAAAGAAAAAGAAGATAAAAATAGTCTTTATAGTTGAACCGTTATGATAATTTATCAATTCCTTTAATGGAAAAATAAATATTAGAAATATTTATTAAAAAAGAAATAGTTGTGTGGTAATAAAAGACAACTATTGAATGAGCATATTCTAAGGATAATACAATAAGATGACTAGATAGACAAAGTGAATAATCAGTAAACTTATAAACTATCCACGCAATAGACCGATATAAATCATCTTTACTACCAATAAAATAATTTTCTTTTTTTTTAATAGTAAAGAGAACGATAGCTTGATAGTTAGACTTCTTTAACAAAGAAATTGAATAAATAAAACAAAAAAATTTTTTTCAATGCAGTGGATGACTTTTGAGATAAATAGTTACCAGCTAGTATTTATTATAATAGAAAATTGAATTAACTATTACAGAATAATTAGAATGTACTCTATTATTGTTATAATTGTGTTTTACAATTATCTTGAGTGGTTAACGGCATATAGGAGGAAACTTTTAATCTAGATTTCATGTTATTTAACCATTGTCAGGAATGTGTCTCCGTAATCGTAAGGAAACTAATTCATTATATGAAATTAAAATCTCTGTTAACAAGCAAAAAATTTAGGTTTAGATTTGTCTTCAAACTAGCATCACTCACCCAATATCAAACAGGCTAAATGTTTTGGAGTAATGCCTGACAATGAAATCTGATTGATATAATTTGATCATCTTGATAGATTAAACAAAATGACTCTGGTTATCACTACGTGATCATTTAGTATTGAAATTATCTTCATAAAACTGTGAAAGTCAGTTGACATTGAAAATTCCATATAATTATTATAAAATGTTGAATGATAATTCAAATGAGGTTAATCATTAAGTTGTCGGAGTTATTACTAAAGGCATCGAGGGGATCTCTTCAATTGTAGCTTAACACTTGCTTTAATTTACTTTACTGGCATTATCATGAAATTATTTACGAATTAATAATAAACAAGATACATTTAACGGTCAATGTCTACATAGAATGTAAGATTCGAGTTATTTATAAATCCTATCTAACCGTACAAGCTTTGAGTCAGTGTGCTTTTATATTCGAACACATCTAAGTAAACAAATTTGATTTTGAAGTTATTACAATTATGTCATCACTAAAGACAAGAAAATTATTTTTGATCAAATTCTTTTTCATACAGAAAATTGTTAGTAGATCATAACACTGAACGGTTTATGCTTACTGACTGTTGATATTCAGGATTAAAGTTCAACAAACTTTGTTGGTATATGAACTAATAATGATAATAACAAAAAATGTACTATTTGAACAAGTTGTTGAGTGTCGTAACTCAATAACTTAGTGGATAATCTACTTCCATTTAAAGCTATTGCTACTAGATTTGATTCTCAATGTGAAAATCAACTTTCGACTACGGCTATATCCAGCCAACCGATTCAACTTCATAGATCTGTTTACATTCACTTTGGACGATATGATTTTTTTAAAACTCTCACTAAATTCTATTTTTTTCCTAATAGTTTGGAAGTAATATTATCGGTAACTATTCAAGAATCCATTGTAAATAAATATAAAAACACTTAAAAATAAGTACTGACTGTAAAACTTGTACATGTACAGATTAATATGACGACTGAAAGCTCATATCAATCACAGTCCTAAGAACTGCCTTATGACATGATTTGATTTGGAACAGCTACTCTTTGATTGTTAGGTATTTTGTAAGTGGCTAGCATGAAATCGAGAATGTTCATTTCATCTCATTTAGGAATTGCAAACTCTTACAAAATAATTATCTAATATAGATAGAAGAATTCTGTTTTAAAGTTTTGAGTTATGGTTTATTCATAGTTCATTCTCAGTACAGACTTTTTGTAGCAATTAAAATAGTACATTAAGTACAGATTATATTAGAGAATTTTAACATTATTTCTTAAAGATATTTAGCATCAATACATATATTTAAACCAAATTGTTTCCATTCCAGAAGAGTTATAAAAGACAAATTATACTCATTTTCGAATTTGCGCTCAATTTTATAATCGATAGCTGAGTGAGTGTCATTTGAGTAATTGAACACATTTTCATTGAAGTATTTTACAAATAAGAATAAACCAGTACTTTTCTGTTGGCCTTTCAAGGATAAAATTAATTTAGAGTGGGGAAAGTGTAAACATCTCATTTTAATAATATATTTCACTAACCAATAACAATCATTGATTAAACTATAGAGCACACTGATGAAATTCAAACTGTTAAATATTTTATATCGAAGAAAATACTGGTTAAATTTATGTTCATCTTTGGTGAGATTATAATTTATGGACGATCTTTGAGCAATGCTATAGTGATTTTGAGACAATACACTTACTCCTGTCAAAAGAGGATTATAAATTAATTTAAGGAATTAGAATTAGAATTTAGAGTTCGAATTTAAAGTTATGAATTAAAGTGATGGTTTTAATCATTAATTAACATCAGCTATAATCGCAAAACACTATTTAACTATGTGGATAAATGAATTTCGCGCCCGAATTCAAAGCTTGTTATCCTGAATATCATTAGTTCGTCCATTAAATTATAGTTTCGCCAATTTTACTATTTTAGCATACAATCTAGAACTCATAATCTGATTAACAATATACCTTAGTCAAACTAACTTTAGACGATATATTTCAAGTAGAATAAAACGATAGCTTTGGTAAATTTGAATTCATCTAAAACTTGATTACGTAACTTAGCTTTAAAAAAATTGGTAGTACAGTATAATACTTATGCTAATAAAATAATTAACAGTGAGAATTCATTTGAATATATATATACAATGGGATAAAAACAAATTAGAAAATAAACTTTCTTTAGCTTGTTTTGATAAGTTTTCATAATCATTCCTCATTCGTTCCATTTCATTTGATTGTTTGACTAATTGTTTCTCTAGATTTTCTTTCATTTTACATTCATTCATTAGTTTGAATTCAATTTGTTTGTTATTAAGTTGACATTCTTCATATTCCTTTGTTAGTTTATTAATTACCTGTTCTAGATTACTTTTTGTCTTAATAATCTATGGAATGAATAATTTTGAATTTATTACAGAACTTATTAATGTTAGTAACTATTATCATCATCATTTAACTGAATAGAAAGAGGTTCTAGCAAAAAAACGATAGTGAAGTTTCAAGTATTCTTCCATATATAATTTTGTATAGAAATTCTTTTCTTTCTGATGATGTTTACCAATTGTTTCTTTCCTAATTTCCACGTAGAAATATTTCAGTCAAATAAGGTTGATATGATGAGGCCAGTTTATCATATGAAAAAAAAACAATAATTTCATCTGAATTATAGATGTAATACAAAGTAATCGGTCAGTTAATGAAGACTTTCTACAAAATATCAAAGTTAATATGATTCCAGGTTTTAACATGACGATAGTTTCCTTGACTAATTAACATCATTTAGAGAACCATTAAAACCAGGGAATAATTTCTTTTCGAAGTTCCTTTAAGATGAGGAATTATAAATCCGCCCTTATGTTATTGAGATCAGGATAATTAGGCTTTGCAGAGAGCGTAATACATTTAGATCATTGGACTGAAATCCGGTGCTTCTTATTTCCAACGCTTATCATTTTATTGTACAACATGAATATTAGCTAGTATGATGGGTAGTCACTGTCTCACTTTTGGTTCTAGTGAATTCCATCATTCATGAATTCTTATTGTAACTTAGATAATCTACCCCGAAGCCAGTCGTTGGTTAGTATTTGAACACTGTTTAGCTTGAGAAAAATTATTTTAATTCTTAGAGTTTTGGTCATAAGTCTAACTTAGTTATAATAGTGCACGAATCCCAATCAATGGAGAAGACGTTGTTGAACCCATAATATGTTATTTATTCCAAAAATTTTAGTTAATTTGTTTGCCTATTCCCTAATTTGTACTGACTTTCATCGATGCACAATTAATAAATTAGTAATTTTATCAGTATATAAATTTGTGGAGATTGTAGTATGTTCACAGTTGAATTCATGAGTCGATCTTAGCTAGACTACCATTAAAAACCTGAAAGCACTAAACGGTCGTTTCATCCTAATAAGGATTACTCAGAAGTGCTCAAATCAAATTTTAAATATTACCAACTTACTTCATTTTCATATTCTTGATTTTTTTTAGTAAGTTTCAACTTTAATTCCTTATTTACTTGTTGAAGTTGTTCAATTTCATTTTGTTTTACTATTGTAATATTTCTAATAGAAGATTCTTTTTCCTTTCAAAAATAAATTAATCAACATGGAAACATTTAAAAATAATTATTTTTACTGAATACACATTAATAAATTTAAAAACAAAACCCTTATCTTTACGGATCAAAGTATTTCTCTGATAAAATAATAAAGGGCATATCTTAACAACAAAGAAATAAAGGATGGAATTGTAGTTGGCAGAATTTCAAAAGCAAACTAATGACAATATTTCTTAGTATATTTCGTATAATAAGTGTTTGGTAATTGAAAAAATTGAAAAATGAGTCGGTTCTTCCTCTTGACTTTCGGTTAGAAACATTAAGCAAACAGATTTGTATCAAATATTTTTTTTAAAGAGCAGGCAAGGCAATATTTCGTCAAAGAAAAACGGACAGTGATTGTTGCAAAACATACATTTTTATCTGTACTGATAGATACTTGGAAAACTCCTTGTTGCACTACAAAACACATGATTAGCTATTGACTATTTGTATTAGTTATGATATTAGAATTATGGTTATTTCATAAGTAAAGGCAATATTTATGATAGGAAAAGGGTCTGATTTTATAGTTTTACCAACAAGCATTCTCGTTGTAATATTATAGGTAAGATATGATAAAAATAACGTATAAGTGTGGTTGTGATTCAGTTGTCGGCTTTTTTGAAACTGCATATTCAATACTGTCGTTTGGTGTATGACTTGAAGTAGTCAAATTCTAGGGAAATAATTCTAAACTACTTTTAAATGATATAGAAATATTCATGTTGACTTATGAGATTCATTCAGTTAATTTATTGAATGCCAGTGTTAAATGATATATTTGTTTAGTACAAACTCTATCTTAGGATACAAACATTGACTAAAGTAAGAAAGTATCGAACAATATTTTCAACAGCAGGACGGCTCCGAAGGTAAATTATTTATCAAAATACATTATATATATATATATATATATATATATATATATATATACTGGACTAACAAAGCATAAAGTGAACTAAACGCATAAATAACTTGGTTCATTAATACTAAATACCATTTTCAGGAGCGTACTTTTGACTGCATTTATTTATTTAATATGCTTTGAATCAAACTTGAAATCAACACCCCACTTGTTCAAAATAGACATATATTATCAAGTCAGCTGGTCAAACGTATACGAAGTCAATAGTAGAGGTTTTTCTAAAGTATCCATCTATAACATTTACGGCTATTATAAATTGAATGGTTTTTTTGAAAATTGAAGAACCTTATTAAAAGACGATATTTTCAAAGAAAACAACTACCTAATTTCAATAGAGAACATTTATTAACCATCATTAAAATTCAATGCACTTTTAACATTTCATCCCCAGCGGGATTCGAACCCAGGACCTAGGTCCAGCTTCAATTGACTCATGATTTTAACTATTGAAGTTACTAAAATCTCCACAAAACCCCTTCTGATAATAATCATCTGCTCACTAGTGACTGACATCAAGAGACACTCTTGGAGTTTTAGTGAGAAGTTTTGACCAGTGGAGTGCAACCAGATCTGTTGCGAGATATCAGATCACTGAAAACAATGGTGTACGGTGGCGAAATTTCGTGGATTGATTGAAATTAGACATCAACACCGTTGGATGCCGGCTCAGTGGTCTAGTGTAATGCGCTCGCGCGCAAGACTGCTTAGTCCCGTGTTCGAGTCTCCCGAGGCGAGTTCGTGGATGCGCACTGCTGAGGGGTCCCATAATAGGACGAAACGGTCGTCTAGTGTTTCCAGGTTTCCCATGGCGGTCTAACTCCAATCGCTTCATGATTTCAACTCTTGAAATAAGTTAAGTAATAAAAAATAATTTTTTATCATTGTTATTTAAACTAAAACATAATTATTACATAATTGAAACTGAAATTATTTATTTCAAAAGTTATTTACTTAATATTGATGTTATTGTTAATGTAAATTGTTAAATTCAAACAATAAATCACAGTATACACATATACCAATAAGTGGCTAAACAATTACAATTCTAAACATTAATGAGAAGATTCAAGTACACAATACCAAGTGAATTTACCTTATTTATTTTCTGTTCAATTTCATTGTATAATGTTTTACGTAAATCAATAATTTTTTTATTTAATAAATTTTGATAATAATTTTCATATTTTATTTTTATTTCTTCTTTCAAAAGTATAGTAACATGAGATAAATTCATTTTCATTTGTTCGATATTCAATATAAAACTTTTAAATACCTCTTTTAAATTCTTTTTTAAAAAATAAAAAATTAATAAAAGAATAATTATTATCAGAAGGGTTTTTTCTAGATTTTAGTAATTTCAATAGTTGAAATCATGAGTCAATTGAAGCTAGATCACCATGGAAAACCTGGAAGCACTCACGAGCGAGACTGATAGGTCCTGGGTTCGAATCCCGCCGGGGGGCGCAGTGCTGAGGCGTCCCATACTAGGACGAAACGGTCGTCCAGTACTTTCAAGTTTTCCATGGTTGTCTAGCTTTAGTTGACTTAGGATTTCAACTGTTGAAATAATTATTATATTAATTTTATAATTAAGACAATTTAATGGGAATTAAATACAAAAAATTGTTTAGCTAATAAACATTAACCCATGGAGGCTTGTTTGAATAGCATGGTTACTTGTTTTTGTTATCTAACTTTGTTTATTTTAATATATCATTATGATTACCAATCGCATAAACTTTTCAGATGCGTTTGTGAAAAGGGTACAACCTTTTGTTGTAAAAGTTACAAAAGGTCCAATAAGAGATATTGTGGTTGCTGGAAATATACATAGAAAAGAATGTACATTATTCAGATGTCGATTGACTGGACTTCTGTCTGACGCTTACTCAATATTTGTAGTCAGGATCGACCAAGAAATAAGAAACAGAAACTTTTGAAATACTTTGTGCTGAGAATTCTATATTGTACCAAAAATATAATATTGAATAAAGCTTATAGTAATAATATAACAATATATCGAAATTCATGCAATTAGTTCCCTTTATCAATTTAAATAAAACCAGAACAAACACTGATGCAGAATAATATGGATTCATTATATTTCGTGGTTTCTCGTGAGCTGCTCTTAACCAAATATGTATTAGAATTTTACATTGAGATAAGAAATAGTATGGAACAATTGAAATTACAAAGGTTATAAGTAATAACTATATATATATGCAAGAACAGGTCAGAGGTTATTAGGTGTTAGAATAAAGGAAACATTAGGGATGTGTGGTGTAATAGTGGAGTTTAGAAACAGATAAGATAAATTGTATGATAATTTTAAAGGTAATAAAGGATTTACGGAATTAAAAAATTGATAAGATGGGTTACGTAATAATTGAATCGAATTTGAAGAGTTCACATAATTTAAGAGAATCAAGTGAGCAAAAATTTTCGAATGAAAGGGTGGTTTAATAATTCGATAATGAGAGTGGAATATAACTAATAATCAAAAATAAAAAAAGCAACAAACACACAAAAGAATTACTAGGGTAGTAATAAATTAATTACTCTTTTTGAATCCGGTTTAAGTATTTTATCACGATTGCTTCAGTAAAACGGAGAACAGCCATACTTCTTTGTATGTCATTAATTTCAAAAGCATGAGAGGTATCAATAGTATGCCTGGTGTCAAGTAAATGCCGAGCTATTGTATTGTTGAGAGCCCCAGTGCCTCGTGACCTCAATTTCTTTAGAACATGCTCAGAAATGCAGACATGTACTTTTTTCTCAGTTCTTTCAATGTATGCTTTGGCACGTACATGTAAATTGGTAAATGCAGTTGGAGCCACTGAGAAAAGATGGCTTGTCGATTTTAGTTTCTTTGAGTGAGCAGTTCGTTTCCCATACCGTCGTCAGTTTTGCTGCTGAGTAGGTCACTTTCAACGCGGAATTTATTCTGTGATTAATTATTCCACTCTATCATACTTTACCCGAGAGTTGGTACTTGCATATTTATGGGTTAATTTCACCGGATATGCATTTTCATGTAGGCACTTATTGATGAGAGTAGTTTCTTCTTCCAGGTATTCTTTTGAGCAAATTTTAAGTGCGCGGTTATAAAGGTATCGTACAACACCCTTTTTGTAACTCATTGGATAGAAGCTGTAGTGATTGAGAAATACTCTACTCCAGGATTTTTATTATGAATGTATCTTTGTAGTGTGCCAACTGATGTTCGTCTGATTCCATTATCTAGGAAATAGAATTTAAATTCATCCTCATGTTCCGTAGTAAATTCTATATCCTTGGATGTTTTACTAAACAAGCTAATGGAGTGTTTGTGAATATTGCAGACAAGAGATGTGTCATCAATGTATCTACAGTAGAGTGTGGTACCATCGATTGCGTGCTTAAGCTTCTTCTGTTCCAGATTTCCCATAAATATGTCGGCTAGAATTGGGCCCAAAGAGATACTCATGGCTACTCCATGAATTTGACGGTACAACACATTGTTGAATTTAAATTGTATGTTTTTTGTACACAAAAATAGAAGCTGTTTAAATTCATGGATTGGTAAAGGCGGAAGTTCAGGATATTCACATATGATCTCTGCCGTTTCTTCCAAGGCGATATTTCTGAAGAGCTATGAGACGTCAAATGAGACAATGAATTTATCAAAAGCATTTACATTATCAAGCTTTTTTGTTCAAATTCAAAACTATCTTTCAGACTATATGGTGCTAGTTTCTTGCGACTTGGTTATAAGCACCTTGTCAGCCAGCGGGCGCGTTTATGGAAGGGTGAATTGGTTATAGATAATATTGATCTTATCGGTTTTACGTAAATTTAATCGGTTAATATTGATTACTGAAACAAATTATTTGTTCATTTTCTATTTCTCTACTGAAACTATTATTTCATGGAACAATTTTAGATAGAAGTCGGTTTTTCTTAACACTCAATTAAGTAATTTTTAACTTAAAATTTATGATAACAAAGTGGTGTCTGCAGTAAGTCTAAAATAATGTTTTGTTTGCATTTAGAAATAAACAACAATGTCGTATATCAATAAATATATTGCTGAATAGTGTGATACTAAAACTTTTAACAAAGTAAATTCATGAAATATCTACAGTAGGGTTATGTAGAAAATCAATCTTGGAAAGTATAGCAATTCTAGAAAAGTTTTTAAAAAGTATACTTATTAATCCTCACTGATAATTTAAAAAAAAACTCAAAGATCATTCTGAATCACTGATTGTTCCAGACATCAGGCAGATGGCTTTATGTTATACAGCTTGAAGTGATTTACAGATCTGAGATGAAATCAATTGAGCAAGTTTATTGTACTTTAATTATCCAAAATAAAAAAAACTTCGTTAGTTTTATCATTCGAAGTGTTTAAACTATAACTTTCATCCACTAGCAACTAAAATATGTCCCCGGCATTGTTATTCAGATTTTAGATCAGTATTATTACAAGTTAAATGCAAAATAAAAGGGTTCGAGATCTTAAAATATATGTTCAATAATTTACTGTTATTAATCCGTGAATATATATCAGCAAGCTTTCGTATATAAGTATTTGTCTTCAAGAAGTCACTATTTATTGTTTACTGTTTTCTAAATACCTAAATGTTTGTATACGTGCTACATCATGTGCCGTTTTTATATTTATCTCTACGTTGAGTCAGAAAATCTGATGTACTAAAAAAAGGTTTCTAACGGTCATATAATTACTATTTACTTTACTTTGAAGCTGTTTGACATTTGTGAGAAACATTAAATCTACTCACCTGAAACAAGTCCACTTTTTTCAAAGGTATTTACTCTAATAACAGTTGTATCATTCTTTAAAGTCATGTTTAAAATTTTAGGCTTAAACAATTGCCTTTCCACTGGATTGTTGTTAACACAACGTTAACAGTCATTACTGTCTAAATGTTTAATAATTAGTCGATGATAATCTTAAGCTGACTATCTATCGCTAATTGCATGATAAAACGCAATTCATGCCTACTACTCTATCTGTAATGGTCATTTACTAATAACTAATATTACAGTAAACAAGTTCACTATATGACAACATACTCGTAATTTGACTATGAAGTTCTCCTTTAAATGAATAAAATTGGATTTTTCAGAAGAAAGTTGCTTTCTTAACAGTTGTGATTTATTTTCTAAGACTTTTATTAACTTTCTTGATTCTTTCAATTTCAGTTGAACACCTTCATATTTGGAGTTTAAAATTAAGTTTTGTTTGTCAAGCTGGTTTTCTAATGAAGTATTTTATCAAAAAGAAAGTGGATATTTTATTATGAAAATCAACTCACTTGAAACAAAGTTTAACATCAAATAAATATGATTTAAACTGTTATTAAGGTGAAGCTGAGATTAAATGGCTTTATTGATGGACGCAATCGAACAAACAACACATTACCTACTTTTAATTAGTATGTTTGTGGTTTCTCAATAACATTATAAACCTTCAAATTTTATGTCTCATTGAAACATGTTTACACATTCATCTAAAAAGTACTTAAATGTATTTGACAATAATGGGAGTCCAACGTTCGGTTTCAATACGCTACAGTGAGTGCATATATGATTAAGTAAAACACAAAAGTACTACTTGTCCTTTAACAAGAAAAATTCCAAAATATTTTACTATCGGAGATTTTTACTGACCTATTTTCGAGTGTTCGATACATATTTACTTCTCTCCAATTTTGATGGAGTTTCGTTCCCTGAGCTGAATGGTTTGGTCGTGGAGCATTCATTCATAAACTTCAGATAGAAGTTTGTGCTGATGATGTCGTTCAGAAGAACGATGAATGCTCCACAACCAAACCATCCAGCTCAGAGAGCAAAACATCAAAAATCATCCACCTGAGCTACAAATCTTCTCCACTTCTTTCCAATGATAGATATACCTAATTAAACAATTAGAAACATTGTTAACGGTTTCTGAAACTATACAACTTGTAGCTCTTTAAAAAAGGGGTATTTGATTTATGCTTGAAAATGATGTTTCATCATCAAAAATGACAAGTATGTTTTTCCATAATTAGTATCTTTTGAAGCATAACTCCGAATTATGCTTGGAAATTAGCACGTTGATCATTAAAGGAAAAAAAACTGTATTCTCCCATGGATATCTGTATTTTGATGTTAGAATATGCTAATTTCATAGTTTGAAATGTTGAAGAATACTTTAAATCCAGGTATATTCTTTTGAAAGTATTTAGTTTTTTGAATTGAACTGTTTAATTGTGATGCTTTTACTAGGTTTTTATCGAATAAGTGACCACTACTTTGGGTAGAATTCAACTTTTGAAATTATTTCGTTAAGACAAACTCGTTTACAGATGATTCACTCCCTAGAATTTGTTGTCTTTATGTGTTTTTGGGTTCTCAATAATTGTTTTGTTCGACTACATACAAGTCATTTAACACTCTTAAAAGTTAAGCTTATTACTGGCCTCCCAGAAATGCAAACTCAAATTATTAGATTACATATAAATGACAAAATTTTCATTATTATATTCACTGCATTCGATAATAATGACAATGGTACAGCTTTTTCATTATGCCAAATGGAAGTGTTGAGGAACTTCAACAACTTTATTACCATAGTTGTATGGTTGGATTTGCATTCAATGCAAAACATATTTATAATTTACGGGATCATTCTAGAATGTTGTGTGTAGTACAGTGTTGCGTAACATAAAAGATAGATGTAGATACGCATACAACAAACGTAAATTAAGTAACCGGATATTTTGTGTGGTCACAAAACTATGGTACTACATTTTTTAAAAAAGTCAAACTTGAAATAAACACTCCACTTGTTCAAACTATGTATATAAATATATCTAATTACCGTTTTTGGATTCTAATTGAGCTTCAGTTATCTTTAATTTTTCCAAACATTCATCATATTCTTTTTTCAATTGTAAATATTTCATATTCCTCTGAGAGAGATTTAAAAAAGTCAATTAAACTGATAAGTTATAATTTAAAAACATAGTCGTCTCTCTCCCCATATATATAATATATATATATATATATATATATATATATATATATATATATATATATATATATATATATATATATATATATATATATATATATATATATAGTTGAATAAATGAGATCATATCTGTGTATAACTTATAGATAGCGAATAGGTCAAAAATCGACGACTTTTGCATTACTGACATATATAGCTGACGTTTAATTCAGACTGATACTTTGTTCTGTTGTTTAACTAGTTATTAAAAACCATCAATTTATTTTCCTGTTGTAGTTCTGTGCTGATTGTGAATATTTATCAAGAAGTATCGTTTCTATTAAATAGTAAATAGGCAAAATCATAGGCCAGGTGTTATCTTTTGATATTCCATGTAACTCAGTGAGACATAAGGCTCTGGAATAGGTTTTAATCTTGTTGTTCAACACAATTCAATCTATATTTGGTAGTCAGCTCACTTGGTTATATCACTAACGATGATAAAACTATGGATAGTGAACCAAATCAATTGGTGAATAACATTTCATCTAGCACTTTTTTTCCTTCGATGATTTAAACATGTTTCTTGAAATAAATTTCTGAATGACTCTCACACTGAATCTGTTGCAACACCTGTAGTTAACAATTCTCAACCTCACCTTTCTAAACGACTTAACTCATCATTTATTCGATATTCCAAATTTACGTCAACTGGAAATTGGTAAACAAATGTTCATTTGCAACTGTTTTGAACATGGCTGACTATGCTTTGCAAGTTCAATATCATCAAAGATATTTTATAATGTATTGATGCTCACAAACAATTCAGTTACTTTGTACTGACCTTAAGTAAGTAATTTTTAAAAATTAATGTAACACCTCAATTTACGGTTCACTAACATGTGATATTTTGTTTTATTTTATTTCAGTTTAGTGGGTTTTAAAAAAACAGTCTTTTGATATAAAACGTTTTAATTGAAAGGCTTTTTTAAAGTAAGTTTAACTTTTAGGTTACAACCATTCCAGTAGTTGTAGTGAACAATAACACCAGTGAGAACAATAGAATGTATTTGACACGGAACTACAGAACTTGTTAATTAAATCTAACAATCATATAGTAAATGCTCAATTTGCAAAATGTCCATCAATTGTCTCAAAATGACCCAGACTTCATTAATCCTTGATTTTCATATAAATTCCATTCTGCTTCCATTCTTTACTGTCCAATCCTCTTGTCTCTGTGCTGCCAGACATTATGTTCCTGACTAACGTCATATACTACTTATGTCAATATAAGTAGCACACACCACAGTGGTCAGTCGTGACCGGTGGAGTTCAGACTAATACGGAGTGAGACATTCATTGTTAGGAAAATTAGAATACAACATGATTAAAGTTGGAAATGTATACCATTGTATGCCATCCTATTGATACAATGATCATGTATTCACTACAAAATCTGAAAGTCATAAGTTCTAGTCTATACTAGGGTCATGAATACACTATTAAAGAGTATTATGCTAGGAAAAAACAGCTTTTTAATGTTTTCGTGTTATTAATGATACCTGAAGTGAAGTCACACCCGACAATTTCCACTTCTAGCTTCGATAAATAACCAGTTAAGTACAGATCAACAATTAAAATAATATAATCTTGAATTTTATTTGATATATACATTGAAATCTATTTTTTTTAATTTGTTTAAGCCATTTAAAGAATATGAAAAACTAAAATAATCCATACTCTAGATGTACGGAAAGTAGTACAATTTTATAAACTATGATAATTGATAATCGATTCCTTCATGTTTATACAGTATTGACAGTGATGTATATTTTCATATCTCTCATACTAGTTTGAATGATCTAATATTTATTTCCCAAATTACATTACTAAAATAAACAAGTACTTGAGTTGTTTATCAATTACATTTAAAATTTCTTTATTAAATCAAGTTTAGTTCAGTAATTAAATATACATTGATTTTATTGAAATTTAAACTGTACACAAGATCAATGTATATAAATTTAAATAAAATTAATTTCAATTACGTATCACTTATCGAAACCCATGAAAACAAGATCAATTATCTCGTAGTTACAGGGAGGAGATTAATATGGAAAACTTTAAAATGATCCGAAAAAATAAACAAAATAATTTATTTAGATCATTTACAATTACAAAATGGAAATTAACAATAAATTATGTAAGAACCCTTATAAGTTTGCTTAACTTAGTTGAAATTCTTCAGTGTATAATTAACTTTTCTTCTCGTATTCAATGTTAAACTTAAGTTAAAATACTGAAAAAAACTCTATAATAAACCAACTATAAAACTTAAATATTCATTTATCTGGTATTGCTTTGTAAATAAACATGAACAATGAATCGAAAACTGGAACTTAACAACTATTCGATTGGATGTTTTATTTATAATAAGGGTATTTCATTGAAATAGTGTACAAATTATTCAGTTGTTTAAATCAACTAAACAGATTAATTACAAACATTAGTCAACAGAAATTATTCAAGTATACACCGATAAAATTCGGAAGAATCAAGATTATTTGAATGAACTCTAAGCGTTTAGATACTTTTTTAATGAAAAAAAGAAGAGACTAGAGCTGCATGTATATATATATATATATATATATATATATATATATATTGCTTCATTTAATGAACCTTGATGAGCTTCAGAACGGCAATAAAAGCTTATCAATTAAACCAAATGACTCAAAGAGATGAAAACTACGAAAAGCATCTACCTAAGCTACGAGTCTTGTCCACCATGTTGGAATGACATCTTGTTTAAGAGTTAAAACCTCGTTTTTCAGAGATTGAAACTTGCTACTACTGAAGATGTAAGTACATGTTATATTGACGCATCCGTATATAAAGCCTATATACTAATATAGATTCAATATTAACCAAAAAACTACAAAGATTTGAACCAGCAATATTTATCTTCGTTTTTATTCAGCTTTCTGTGTTACTCTTATGTTGATGTAAGTTGTTTACATCAAAACATTTTTTAAATTAATTTTGTTTATATACGTAGTACAAAGTTATTCATATCATTTTAATCTTTATTCGTTGTTTTTTCGACTGTAATAGAACAGAGTGTGACTGTCTGTCATTTATTTTGACAGTTAAATTATCCCATATTTTTACCAGGACAGAGAGTTCATGAGTTTTTACTTCTTCAATTACTATCCTATCCTTATTCTCATCTACAAAATAATTTCTTCTTAATAATCACATCCTTATTGAGTTTGTTTTTCTCAACCTGCAACTAAAAATAATCAATTCTTCTGTAATTATCGTTAAATGTGTTGAGACGGCTTCCAGGAATTACGACAAAGCCTCCAGAGGCCCTAGAAAGAACTGAAGAGTTCCATCCAATCAGAATGCAATGAAGCTTACTAGAATATCAACGTGGCATGCTACTACTGATCTGTAGCATAACATGAATCTTTGAGGATTGGTTGATTTATAATGTTAATTTAACAAATGCTAATATCTATAAATTCCCGTGATTTTCTGTATATTTTCATTCATGTTCAACAATCACTTTCTCCAATTTTCTTCTGTCTTCTCATTTGCAACTTGGTGGCGTTTTAACGTTCAAGTGCTCAAGTCGTAAGCAGTATATTAGGAATCTAAGCTCTAGATATAACAAAATGAGTTTCAAAATAGATTATTATCAGTGTTATCATATTTTCAGCAATCTGCTCATTTATACATTTTTCAATCTGCTCCAAATTGTATTCTGTAAATATATTTCACCTTTTTAATGGCTTATGATTACGATTTTTTCAGTAAATCTTACCTATCTCATGAACATCTACTTTTATATACTATTAAGGGTTCCAATTTCTAAATATTAATGTTTCGTACTTACATTATATATGTCAACTCAATGTTCTGTCAATTTAACACAAAGATTCAGTGACCATTTATTGCACTAGGCAAACATTATCAATCTCCTATAAGTTATCATCTTTTTTGTATATCGTATTCAACTATTTATACAAAAAGTGATTTGATCAGTGTCATAGAAATCGATAAATAATTAAATATCAGAGGGGTTTCGTGGGGATTGTAGTAGTTTCAATAGTTGAGATCATGAGTCAGTTGAAGCTAGACCACCATGGAAAACCTGGAAGCACTGGACGGCCGTTTCGTCCTATAGGTCCTGGGTTCGAATCTCTCGAGGCGAGGTCGTGGATGCGCACTGCTGATGAGTACCACAGTAGGACGAAACGACCGTCCAGTGATTCCAGGTTTTCCATGGTGGTCTAGTTTTAATTGATTCATGATCTCGACCATTGAAATAATTAAATGAAGAAAAAAAACAAGAACTAACATAATCAATTGCAATTAAAACATAATGATATAATTTACTTCTTTTTCTAAATTCACTTGTTCATTATTTTTTATAATAAGTTCTTTTTTTAAATTCTCTTCAATTAATTGTAAATCAATAATTTTTCTATGAAATTTTTCATGTTCTACTTTTGTTTTCATTTGATAATCTATGTATTCTGTATTAAGCTAATAAATAAAATTGAAACATTGTAACATAAACATCATGGTTAAAATTTAATGTTCAATTCATGGTAGTTTTTATAATTTCCCCGAAAAAAAAAACACTTTTATTCTCATATTCTAAACAATGTCAATAATAAGCAAAGATAATATAGTGACTAACAGTAGAATCAAAGATGAGCGTTTCATTCCACATAGGACTCGTTAGTTCGATGCAATCGCATCTCAGAATTGATATTCACACCGGGACTTGAACCCATTACCGTTCCAGGATGCGCGCTTTGTTCTATTTAGATTCCATTGCTAGCTATTATCTATTTCTGCTTATTATGTTTAGTGACTTCAAGTGATATCAAAGCAATTCGCACAGGATGAATATATGCCAATATGAGATTGATTAATTACAGTTCTAAATATCAATGGGAAAACTCAAACAATCAACACAGAAATGAATTAAAATGTCGATAATATTTAGCATTAAATCTAAGAAGAAATATTTATTTGAACATTTCATTGTAAGTAAATTACTCAGTTTGTGTTTATTAGCTTCATCACAGTTATTTATCATTTGAGATTTCAGTATCATCACTTACATCTTTATCATAATCCATTATTTTGTTGATTTGAGGTTAAATATTTATTAAGTTGAGCCTAAGTTAATTGATTGAAACACTGATAATTTTAGAACGTATTACTCAGGCACAAGTTAACATACCTTATCATTCAATTAATGTTTAGGATTTCTCAATGAAATATAAAAGATACGTCAGAAAGGTATCAAAACAAATTAAAATGAATTTAGAACAAATAGAAATATGGCGTTTTATACTTATTTTTCATATCAGAAGGAGTTTTGTGGATATTATAGTGATTTTAATGGTTGATATCATGAGTCAATTGAAGCTAGACCGCCATGGAATAATTTAATAATTTAAATATTTCTAATCTACTTAAAATGAATATTTAAACAAAGAATATTCTCTTGTTTTTTTAAACAAATTCTCATCTGGTACATTGAAATTATTAATTCGAATAAATTTAGATAATATACAGTAAGTGAAGTAATAATGTAACTGCAAATTATAACATTCTTTCAGTAACAGGTTATGTAATGTAAGGAACTAATATAAACCGAGTAACTGAAGTTATTCCTTAAATTTATATATGTATATACATTTCTAAAGAATTATTATTTATAATAAGTGAACAGGATAAATTAAGTGATGAAAATATAAACAGTGAAAGTAGACTTATACCAGTCGGATTAGATTATCGTATAATTAACATAAACTTCACACTCGTCCGCAATTTCAACCTTGCACCTGGTAACCAACCAGAATGAGGCCGAACTAATTGTTTACACAATCTTATTCTATGATGGAGCGTGTGTTTTGTTCGCTGTCGTTTGTGCTGGCTTACATGAAAAATTTAAGGTTTTCACGACGTAAATACGACTCTATCGTGCTACTTTAGGTTTTTGACCTTGTGTTGAAGATATATGGAGAAATTCAAGCAAACTATACGACGGAGTTTATCGAGATGTAGTTGGAATCTTGAGATTTAAGGTAACAGCTTGATTATAATTAAAATGACTTACTACTTGTAAACTTGAATTTCATGTACACTAGAGGAAATTAAACAATTTAAAATAGAGCACATTAAGTGGTAACTTCAATTATTCACAGAGATTGAATAAATTTCTTTAGACAACTTTGATTTAACCGCTATCATATATAGAACATTCACAAAATACCAGACAATATAAGTAAGTGCAACATCGAGTAACAATGGTTCTAAAGATTTAAAACCATAATTCATTCTATTTCAACGTACAATGATAAATATTCAATTGAGATCACTAACCGATTGATGTTAGACCACCTTTGGAAACCTGGAAGCACTGGAAGGCCGTTTTTTCCTATTGTGGAACTCAGCAGTGCGCATCCACGGTCCCGCTCGCGAGATTCGAACCCAGGGCCTTCAGCTTCGCGCGCAAACACTTAACCTACTGGACCACTGAGATAGCATCCAATAGTGTTAGTGTCTAACATCAACCACTCCACGAAATTGCGCGACCATCTTCCATCATACTGATAACTAACACGCGCTCACTGGTGACTAGCTTCGTCAGGGGAATTCTCGGAGTTCTAGTAAGGAGCCGTTACCAGTGGAGCTAATCCGTGTCGAGTAGAGACAGGCATGTACCTCAGTACAATGAAAGATAGTCGCGCAATTTCGTGGGTTGTTTGAAGTTAGACATTAACATCGTTAGATGCCGGCTCGGTGATTTAGAGGTTAAGTGTTCGCTCATGAGACCTCAGGCTCTGGGTTTGAATCCCGCTGGCGGGATCGTGGATGTGTACACCTAAGGAGTCACACCATAGGACAAAACAGCCGTCCAGTACTTCCAGGATTTCAATAGTGGTCTAACATCAATCGGTTCATAATGTCAATCAAAAACTTAATAATCTCCACAACCCCTATACTGATATATATTCGAATAATTTCAATACTTACTTTATCATATTTCAATTTTGAACTTTCAATATGATTCTCTAAATTATACTTGATTTCTTCATTTAATTTATGTAATTTTGATAATTCTATTTGAAACTCTTCTTTTTCTTGATTTAATCGACCTTGCCAAATATTGTTTAAATTAATTTCTGTATTATGCTTTATAAAATTACTTAATTCATTTTTTTCTTGATTATTTTTAATGATTGATTGATCATAGATATGTTTTTGGTTTTTTAAGTCTTGTAAAAGTTTTTTATTGATCTCTAATAGTTCATTTTCTTTTCTATTTTCTTCATCTTTAATATTTTTGATAATTTCTTGAATTTTACATTCATACGAATCTGTAAGAACTTTGATTCTATCTAAATTATAAAATGAATTCATATGTTAAATGAAAGAAATGAAAAATGTATTAAATGCAAATAGTTGAGACCAGAGTCGATTGAAGCTAGAATACCATCGAAAAACTGGAAGCACTGGATGACCATTTAATCCTATCGTAGGACTCCTCAGAAGTGCGCACCTACAATCCTGACTCAATGGATTCGAACCCAAAACCTATAGGTCTTATGCACGAATGCTTAACCTCTAGACTCATGATCTCAACTAATAAATTACTATAATATCCACAAAAACCACTTTCTGATAATAATCAGCGTATACTCACTAGTGACTGGCTTCGAGAGGTATTTCCAGGCGTTCTAGTGAAAAACAGTGACCAGTGAAGTTCAACCGGGTTTGTTGTGAGATAGTAACTCACTGAAGACAATGGTGAACGTGTGGCTCGATTTCGTGGATTGTTAGACATTAACCCCTTTCTGATATTAAATGCGAATAGTTTACGGAGTGTAAACATTATATATTTCATAAATTCTTACTATGAAGTATATTGATAAAGAAGAAAATAAAATTACACTGATAACTTCTAACTACTTTGAAAACCATTGAAATATAAGTTTTCTACAGTTGATTCGTTTTGTGAAGTTGAATAAAGCCAAAATGTATTCATGTAAAAGTGTAACACTTAACTGTAATATAACACAGAGTAGTAGACACGTGTCAAGAAGTATATATATATATATATATATATATATATATATATATATATATATATATATATATATATATATGGTTTGGACACTAATAATATTAATTAGGTAATAGTTATGGAAGATTTAGAGTTTACAAAAGGTTGAGATCATTTGAACCTAGACGCAAAACACGTAGAGTGGTGAAATGAGAATTATTTAGATTCCTTAACTGATAAGATGGGTTACGTAATAACTCAGAAAGGCTTGAAGAGATCACACATGTTTGACGAAATGAGCGAGTAAGAGAATGATAAACTGATGACTATTTCTTTCTAGACATATAAATCCTGTTTGAGTTTTTAATTTTCTACTTTTTCAGTGTAACAAATATAAGCTATATTATTCTGTCTATTGATAATTTTGGTAATTTATACGTGTATCCGAAAGCATATACATTTAAAGAACGAAGGGAAGAGTACATGTTCTCATTTACAATCATGTCTCAGAAAATTTAAGACTAAAAAGTTTAATAGCTCCAAAGAGTGCAATACCTCTTCATTAAATTTAAATCGGGAGTATTATTGACATTCACTAATCTCCCAAAATTATCAGCAGACAAAATAACGTAGCATAATAAACAGCTATCATTACTTGTACCCTTAATTAACCATGGATGAAGAAGTAACCACAGAAAAATATCCCGTGAGGTTTAATCTGTAGCAATAGCCTACCCACAATATACTTCTATGTTAAGGAATTAATTACCTAAAGAAAGACTACCTGAATTTCTCCGGTAAGATCCCATCAAACAAATCAGTTATCCCAGTTTCGATATTCAGAGGAAACTTTAGGACAAAATTCAATAATATTACAAAGTAAGTGGAGTTACAAATACGCAATTCTGTTGAAATATGTCACATGATCCGATAAATACTGTTTTCGATAAACATCTCAAGCATCCAGAGCCTCATCTTTGAGCTTTAAAAGGAAAACGGCTGGAAAAAAACAATTAAACAACAGCACACCAGTTTCCGTTTTCTACTGGTTGTTACATTGTCTTCAATTTGCTTGGCATCAATCTTTTTTTCCAATGATTATCCTAGAGCATATCATACTACTTACTAATATTCAATAGCTTATGTTGTTTTCAGATATTTTTCTCAACTTTGCAGAAGGTGGGTTATATTTCAATTTGATACAAATTACTGTCCCCATCCATTTATACTCTTAATTCTATTGTTTTACTTCGTTTACCTACATGTAATATTACCGTTTCTTTATCTCATTGGTTAGTCTCTATTGTATATGCTACCTGTTGAAACTCATTAATTTTTAGTAACTTACCTCATTTCGATAGGTAGATGTGAATTTATCTTCCTTAATCGCTGCTATCCATTATACAATACCGCACTTTGTCCCTTGATTTATGATTCGTGTTGTAACTATATTTTCCTGAAGGAGTTCTCTTTTATATGCCTTTAAAATCATTATTGAGACCCGAATATCGTATGATTTATGATATATAAATTCTTATTATTTATATTATCGCATATCCAGACAAATTTCATCATATGGGCTTCGGAATTTTACGAATTACAATAATATTAACCATCAGAATGTGAATTAACTTTTTATAAATATAGCACCGAAACTTCTTTAGCTTAAGTATCTAAATTCTATTAAATGATTAAACATCCAACTGTATTTTGTTCGTATAATCCCCAAACCTAAATGTATTTATCATGATCATATTCTCTATTTAATACAGGTAAAACACATTTACTCAAACGATCTTAGTAGCATAGTCACTTCATCTATGAAATGTATACACAGGATTGTATGAAAACCAAAGTCAATCCCCAAATTCATTTTCTCATTGCTTCATTATTTATGTACCATAAAAGTTCTTTAAATATAAAGGGTTTACAACTAAAGTTTAGTGATCATTTATTTTTCAAATATGACCAATCCGATTGACTGCAAAAGAAATAATTCACATGCTGCTCTGTTGACCAAAATTTTAAATGACTCATTAAGTAGTTTTTCTTTTACACACTGGTTTTTAAGTATCTCAGATGACTTATATTTTAACTTTATTGTATTTTGGGGACCGTTTACGAACTTTTTATACACTTACCTTCTACTTCCGTTTCTAATAATAAATACTTCTCTTGTAATCTTTGAAATTCACATTCCAGTTGCAATTTTTCGTTAAGAATTGGCTCAACGTTTGGACACTGATGAGATTTCCACTGTTCAGCAAGACATTGAGTTGCATTCAATTTTTTTTCATATTTTTCTTTATGCTCAGCAATAGTCTGTTGTAGTTTGATTATTTCTTCATTATATTTTACTCTTAACATATCTTCTTTTAAATGATGCTCATTTATTAACTGACTACATTTCTATTCAATTTAAATAGTACAAACGAGAACTTTTTAAAATATTATTCATTTATTCAGACAACAAATGGCAAATTTGTTTATATAATTTACTCCCCAAACCATACAACAACAACAAAACATGTTTATAGGATGTAATCATTTAGATTTATCGTTGTCAATAGACATCATTTGAGTGTAAAACTTTCTGTGTAGTCATGTTTTAACTGTATTTATTTATGTTACTAAAAGCAGATTTAGAAAGTATTAAATTTAATATAATTCCAGAACTATGATTATTAGACGTCTTGACAACTATTTTATTAGATAGACTTACTAAAGTCTAAAGAATAAACAGCAAGAACAGATGAAAAAACTTCAATACATATCAGATTCTCTTGTGTAAACAGGCATCGAAACATGATATGATGATGCGAAATTTAAAATAACACACTGTATATGGAGCAATTCATTCTTACTTAAATTATCATATCGATTTGGAGTCATCACAAATTGAGAAAACAGGAAACAAAATGTGACAAAGAAAAGTAGGATTCCAGACAATCTGGACCTATATTTATATGCATACGTGAATTTCCATTTTCGTTTGTATGTATCAGAAAACAGAGAGCTAGACAACACATTCTTTTCAGGTTTTGTATAAATAAAACAAAATATGTAGTAAAGTGCCAGAGAATATCGTTAATCTGTCGTCATTCGGCTGGAAACGTATAGTTTTTTCGAAATTTCTGTCAATATATATCAAATATTGGCTCGATATTGCGAGCTCTAGTTTGCCTATGAGTAAATGATGCTGATAGTATGCAAAAAAATATACTGATGGAAAGCATCAGCGAAAAAGAACATAATCCAAGAGAACATTCAGTCGTAAGAAAAGACAGATTACATCTTAACGCCGTCAAGCGTTTGCCAAAAGACGTGTTAATTCAACGTTAATTTAGTATTTGTGAAGCAGCTATTGAAACATCTCGACCTGTAGCTCTCCTATGGCTACCGCTGGGAGGAAGAACAAGTGCCGACGGACTGGAAAGGAGGATAACTCGTCAACATATCAAAGTAAGAAGACCCCAACAAGTGTGAGGACTACAGAGGTATCACACTACTGTCAGTATCGAGAAACGTTTTGAACAGTGTCGCTGGACAGAATGAAAACTTCAGTAGACGCTCAGCTTCGAGATCAACAGGCCGGATTCCATAAGTATCAGTCTTGACACTACGAATCATTTCTGAGCAATCAGTTGCATGGGATTCGCCACCATACATCAACTCTCTTCGACTGTGAGAAAGTGTTTGACAGTGTGGATAGAAGAACCTTATGGAACCTTCTTATATATTATAGTGTGCCTGACAAGATCGTCAGCATCATACAGACTACACCATAAAGTGGTGAATGGAGGTCAGCTGACAGACGTATTCCGAATGAGGACCAGTGTCAGGCAAGCCTACTCACTCTGTCTTTCTCTTTCTTCCGGTGGTTGACTGAATTATCAAGACTTCGACATCTCAGGGAAAACACAGAATACAATGGACAGCTTGGATGCAACCAGACGATTTGGACTTCGCAGATGGCCTAGCCCTTCTATCCCATACACATGAGCAAATGAAGGTCATGATAACCAGTGTAGCGAAAGCCTTTGCATCGGTAAGCCTCAATATACACAAGGGAAAAAGCAAGATCCTAAAATGCAACACGGAAAATACCAGCACAATCACACTTGATGGAAGAACTCTGGAAGGGATGGAGAGTTTTACGTACCTGGGACGCATCATTGATCAATAAGGTGGGTCTAATGCACACGTGAATGCATGGACTGTAAAAGCGAGGGCCACATTTCTACAATTGAAGAACATATGGAGCTCGAAACAACTGCCAGACAACACCAAAGTAACAATCTTCAATAGGAATATCAAGACAGTCCTACTGTACGGAGCTGAAACTTGTAGAACTACCACAACCATCATCAAGAAGGTACAAGTATTTATAAACAGTTGTCTACGCAGGATACTCAATGTCCGTTGGCCGGATACCATCAGCAACAGCCTACTGTGGGAGAGAAGAAACCAGTTTCCAGCTGAAGAGAAAATTAGCAAAAGACGCTGGAAGTGGATAGAACATAAACTAAAGAAATCATCGAACTGGATCACGAAGCAAGTGCTAACTTGAAATCCTAAAAGGAAACGGAAAAGAGTAAGGCCAAAGAACACACTGCGGTGGGAATTGGAAGGAGACACCTAAAAGATGAATAACAATTGGAAACAAGTATAAAAGATTACCCAGGATGGAAACCAATGTAGAATGCGAGTAGGCAGCCTACGGCTCTCCACGATGAGTTACAGGCTTAAGTAGGGCAAGTAAGTAAGCTATTCAAATGGGATGTAAAGAATTATTTCAGGGCAGTCAATACATATAAGAACTTATTAGGCTGTGAAAATAATTTCGTCGACATTAAAAGTTTATATTAGTATTTCAAAAAAATATTTAGACGTTTATGATCAAACTGTCGTTTCAACATTAACCGAAAATGTCTTAGATATAGAATCAAAGCTAATCCGGTAGGACGCTGTTTCACAAATATTTTAGATATCAACTCTAGAGAATTAATTAGTCCAAATGAGCTTCTTCCAAGCGTTTAACTAGGAGTAACAGAAATAATACTGATGAGTGGTAATTGATAGACTATAGACTACCTAAAAATTCATGAGAAACTGAAAGGATACCACCATTAGTTTCATTCATTGAAGTGGTTATCTTTAATTGGTAAACATTTATCAACAACTACATTTCCAGTGGGCATCTTCTGTTTATACAACTATCAAAGAGTCGATCTAAGCAACCTAATCTCCTGATGATAGATAAGATGTATATGTATTGCACTTCTGACGAGAATAAAATTAAATATCCTTTTGACAACTTAACGCTTCAGTTTGTAAAATGATGGGTTTAATTTGATGTGTTTTTTGTAACAGATAAAGAAATGAGCAACTACCCTAAAAAGCTATCACATGTAAGAGTAGCTTTAATATGTTTCATTGTAGATTTTATCAACAATTTTTACAAATAAACTAGTAATGAATCTATGGAATCAGAACTTCAGAGTAAATAGGAAAGTTGTACTGCAACTAACTCAATCACAAATTAGCCACTGAACATCAATCGCTGAAGGTTTATGAACACTATGTTCTTCTCCCGATTCCTTCTGAAGCTCTAATGATGTTGTGTGCCAGATCAAAGGCATTGACTGTGTAGCTACCTAATAGCTCAATTGAGAAACAGATTTACCAGGACGAGTATATGAACTAAAGGAAAGTTGACTGAATGGAGTTTCTGATCGTTCCTGTAAAAAGCACTCGAGTAAAGCAACTTTTGTCTCATCGACTCACCCGCTTCAAACTGATTATCTGTCACTTCATAAAAAGACTCATAATAAACCGTCAAATCACCTATATCTGAAATGTTTCTCGAATTATTACCTAATTTGTACGGATGTTCAACACGGCAAGTGAAGTGTTATTTTGCTAGCGCTTTTGGGATGTGGCTACATCAAAAATGTGCTTTAACTCGTTAAGATTGTTACTGAGTATTGAGACCTCGGATGGCTGCGATTTGTAATTCAGGATGTTGATTTCTCTTCATTTAACATCTCTGTGTTAGATAGTCTAACTGTAAAGCTATCATTGTTCTTCCAAACTGCATCATTAATGCAAACTTCAGACAGAAGCGAGTTATTAGAACGTATCCATTAGTAATGAATAGCTTATTTTGTTTACGGTGAATAAATTGTTGTCAACATTTTTCATTTCATTGTTTACATCTTTATTATGATTCTTCTTGATTACTTGAATTTCATAACTGTAATTGCTAGTGAAAGCTTTGTGCTTAAGTCTTCTAGACCAAAAGTGACATCACTTTATCAAAATTACTTGAACTTTCCTTCTTACTATATAGTAGATTTCTGTGCTTCCTCGTTATTTTGATGATTTTTCAAAGGTTATTTGACCGATATGAAAAAAATTAATCATTTTTTTAGTTTACAGGCATGGAATTGGTAAATGCTGAAAGACTTGGAACTCGAAAACTGTGATTTTCTCAATTGAAGAAAATAATAAGCCCTCAAAGAATAAATAACTTCAGTCAGTCAGTCAGCTACAACATAGGACCAGGCACATATGTGCATCGGTCTAAGTTGCCACACCTCATTAGCACAAATAAATAAATGTTATAAATAACTTCATAATACATACGTTTCCTCACCTGCCTAAGCACTAGCGTTTGTTCTTCAAAATTTTTCTAATTTTAAGATAGAAATTGTAAAATGACAACCTAATTCAAAAGTGGTATGCCCAGTGATGAGCATCTTATACACCCGATTAATTTTCAAGGACCTTCATAACCAGCCGGCCTGGAGAGGTGAAATTTAAATTGGATAAAGGTTTAAATTTTAAAATGGCGTGACCAACTGCACTTTTCAACGGCATAAAAGTTTTAAAATACACTCAACTATTACAAATAACTCACAGATTGGATATTGATGATTTCCAACTCTTTTTCACTAATACTCTTTTCTAAGAAGGCTATGGTGTCCCCGAATCCTCTCTCCTCTTCAAGTCTAAGCTCTAAATCTTTTAGTTTCAATTCATAGGAACTTTTTAGTCTGGTAATTTCATCCTCGTGTTGCTTGGAAGTCTTCTTAAGTAGATCAACAGAATCCTCACCACGTGAGTTCAACATGCAAACCACTTTTGTCAATTGTGCGATCTTTTTAGACATTTTGTAGTGAATATCCTGGTCATGTCCTAGCAGGTTGTTTGTCATGTAGGACTTGTAGTCGAAGGAGTATGCAGGCATAATTTTTAGTGTTTAATAATGAAGTGGAATGTGCTACTCAATCAAACTGCTGGAAATGTCCTATGGATAGGATAAAAAGCGAAATGCAAATATTTAGCAATTAGCTTTTGACACTAAGGCGCGCTGTATTTTGCATTTACAAAGAAAGAAAAGTCTTTTCTGAAGAAACCTAGAATAAAGGAACAAAAAAGGAACCGATGACTAATTAATAACACATGGATCTGTTATATTTATCCATAAAAACATTTGAAGGCGATTCATAGTAAAAATGAGGCATGAAGAAGGCGATATGAGAAACTGGGGTTCAGTATAGCAACAATTTAAATGCAGGTGTCACTATCAAAATATTGCCTACGTTACTGTAGGCACCGACCTAGACAAATTATATATTAAAACTCACTGATCAGAAGTTCGGTTTACCTTAGCAAGATTCTGTTGAAGCACCTTTTTAATCCTAAAATTCGTTTTGGAAGTAAAGGACCATTCAATTGCAGTTCATTTTTTCGCGTTCGTGGCTCATCATTTTCACATTCTCATGTTACGAGCTGAAGTCCGCAGCAGTAAATAAATCCCTAAACTAAATAATCCTGTAGGTCTCCGACATTGTCGCTAAACCTATTGATTTTACTGGGCACATCAATATAAATGCGCTTGGTAACGCAGCTGCACCAGATCACGACTGGGTACACCGTGCAAAGGGTTTTACTCATGTTTTACGTGTTAACCAGATACATTCAGAACCATTATATATATATATATATATATATATATATATATATAGACACATATAATGTGGAGTAAATTTTTGGTGATTATACCAACTTTTGTGATGTGTGTCACTATTGTTCATATTTTATTACGATTACTTGGAGTTCTCATTTGTAGTTTGGCTTCATCTTGGAAATGTTGGATGTACTACAGTCACATTTACATAATTCATCAGACATCACATTAATGAAAAAGCACTTTGAATCAAGCTGGTGTTGAAGTAAATTTATGTCACACATCACTCACATTTCTTGTTGAATTGTAAATCTTTGCAGTAATTATATGTTCAACTTCAGAGACCGTGTGGTATGAGTAAGAGTAGCAACCGATAGTGCTACAAAGTTTCTCTCTTAAACCTGTAGATCATGAACTTTAATCTCTGTTGAATGGTTGGGGGCCTACTTCAGTTAGACGGGGACGGTGTGACCAACAGTTAACGTCAAAATCACACCTCGCCGTCAGCGCCTAGCGTGGATTACCCCTTCATCGTATCAAGATACTATGGAAGTTTTGAAGGCCGTACAATACAAAGGACGCTGTTACGGAAACGTATTAGTAAGAATGAGTACAGAGAACGTAGTGGGACCACCACCGCATGGGCCAGTCCACGGCATACAGTGAACTGATGCTTGTTGGTTGCCTTTGATCTTGACGACTGTCGATGATCTGTTCGATACTCAGTGACGATACCCAACTGACGGATGATTTGGCTAGATCTCAGTGACATTCCAATGACCCTACAAGTGTCCAAAATGAAACAGTTTCAGTAGCTGAATGCGGAAAACTTTACAGAATAGCAGTCTAGAAGTTACTACATATAAGCTTCTTCACCACATGATGGAAATATAATAAGTGTACGTACTGTTACGTGTACATGAATGTGTAAAAAATTATTCACTGTAACCATATTGATACGTTCTAGTACATTACATTATAAATAATGTTGGTAATCACCAGAATTTACCGCCGTGAGAAATTAGCATTGAGTACATCAAAGATTGTAACACATTCTCGATACTTCATGTCTGCATTAAAATTAATACGTTAAGTCCGTTGAGCAGTCTCCTTCTCATTCAATAACGTACGAATGTTAACATACACGTCTTAACGAATACTAGACCCAATTTTACCCTCCAGCATTCATCATCCATCACGTTACGTCCTAACGGCTACCGTTTAGTTAATACAAACCTTATATATATTTATGGTTGTTTAAACCATGGAAGACAAGGAAAACTAATTAATTAGCGATGGAGATGAGGAGATACATTTTGGTGGAAGCAGACTTCAAAGGAATAAAAAGAAGCTGGGAGCAACTGGAAAAATTTGCACAGGACATAAATCGATTGAGAATGCTGGTTGACAGCCAATATACGTCCACGAGAGTTAACGGATCACCGAATTATTCCTTCTAAGTGTCATGTCCTCTTTTTTCTATTACAAGTAGCCAGATAACTCACCAATCTCATGGATGTTGATCAACTATGGTCGATTATAAGAAGCTCATAATGTCTTAAATTCTTGTGAGTCGCTCAAAGTTTTGTTTTTCTACTCTGAAAATTTTGCAATTCTAAACTCTTGCATATTCTTTGATTTGCTATTTATCTTTACCATCTCGAAACCGCATTTATTCTGACCTGTGTTTTATAACTTATACCATTAGTTATCTTGCAACATGGAACTAGTAGAGGCCGTATATTCCAACAAGGAGTTAAGATTAGAGCTATATTCATGCACACCACAAACGTAAGAGATCCTAACATCACAAAAGGAGGGAGGTTGGCGTTACTGACCAGCAAACATGATGACGGGAAGATAGCTTTGGTCCATCCATGTATGTGGAGCAGAACATGTTAAATTACGGCTCCTCATGGTCAAGTGGGATGTCATGAATCGATGGTATTGATGCTCATTCAATATGACGTTGAATTAGTTTCACTTCTTGCTGGGTAATACTATAACAAGCAAAACTAGACAGTTTGCTAGAAACGCAGCCAGCTCACGATCCCACAAAATCAATAAAAATAGGTTAAGATAACTTCGAAAAGAGGGAGATAGCCATTTGTGTATCAGAGTACTGTTTTTATTATTATTCGTTTAGACGGTTAGGAAGTCAAGCCAAGGGTTCTTGTTGTCCTGAAAATTGATTACATCCACTGCCTCATAATTAATACATGCAGTTTTAACATCTTGGAAAGATTACTTAGAAATTTCTGTAAACTTTTCCCTTCCTTCATTTGAAATTGCTCCACCTTGGTAAATATCACAATTCATTGTTCTTTATTAATGTATTCTCTTATCTGGAGCCTCTGATCACATTTGACTTTAACTTCAATAGCTAGTATGAATTTAATCTAATAACTTATCATACCTCTGTCTGTTCCACTACAAAATGTTAAGTATTGCTTATCGTTCATATCCAAGTGCTTTGCTGCCCCTCGGTTTCTTTTTTTTCTTTCAGAATCATGCTCTGAGGGCACAGCTATGGAACTTCTGACATCTGGAACAAACTAGACGTACGTGTTTTCCCAAGGTCATAGTTCACATTAGGCGCCCCACGAGCCTACTTTATAACAATTATTAACATAAAAAGTTGTATTGCATTAATACTGAGCATGACCAAAATCCTGACACAATAATGCGGAGATTGGATCTGGTGTGTAACGTGGACGCTATGCCACTTTGGAAAATATTTTGAAGATTATTCAGTATATCTGAAGGAATGAACTGATATTAACTTTTACAGACTATATTTAACATGCATATTATAAAACAATAAATGTTGTGATTTATAGATCATGCCTGTAAAAATGGCGTGTACCTGCTACTGAAGAAATATATATTATTACTATTAATGTATGGTATTCTGATTACTGCATGAAATTGTTCATCTAATATTAACTTTGTAGCTTGTTGCTGCGATTCCAGAGTAAAATCTCGGACGTTCTGATTATTCTGACTAGTTGTGTCATGAAGTTTTGCTCTCTCACGGCATGCAAAACTTGCACACTTTACATGAATAAGTAGTGGTTGCTTTAGGGTAGTTTAGGGAAGTGACAGAAATATCTGGAAATCTCAGATTTTTGGTGAGTTGTAGGCTTCTTAACTGATGAATAAACGGAAGTAGTTAACTATTTCGTCATCTTAAACACATTCCTTGGCAATGTCTCAGACATCAAATATCTCCATGTAGTCCTCGAAATCACCTGCATTTGAATGTATATCTAACTTCCATAATACGGGCCTCATTGCGAAGTCAATATTACAAATAGGAATATTTGAACGAGTGGATCACTCAAAGTCACCAAAAATGTGTCTCAACAAAATTGAACGACCTGATACGCGGCAATCATTCTGTATCTGAATTTCTTATGTTGGTTTGGTGTCCAGCTTGCATGAATTTCAGGTTTTTTCAAATTTACGTAGTTTGCAGCTGCCATAAGATCACAAAATCAATTCAAATAATGTTAACTAACCTTCGCCTGTTTTCCGGTCTACATTTTTGTCTCGTAACTTGACCTCAGAAAAAAATTGCTCTACAGAACCTCACAGCTATGTTAAAAACCTTATGAGGTCTGGAAAACAACGTATTATAGGTGAGTGCAAATTGTCAACTCCAGATACGCAAGCTTTGTGCGAATCACTAATTTACTCGGAGTTTAAGGCGAAATATCAAGTAACTGTTTAGCTCTAAGCTACCATACTTTTAAGGTTAGTATTACTTCGTCCAGTTAGTAAAGTATTATTTCAATGATAAATTGTTTGTTTTGTTTTATAATTACTCAGCATTGTTCATTGTGCTTCGTGTTTGAACGATATCCCAGTCGATGTCAGCGAAGCGTTTCAATGCCTCATACTGTGCAGGCGTTTGTAAGCTGATGTTAGTTTTAAAATGCACTAAAAGAAATTCAGCAATCGGGAGAAGAATAATGTTTTAATGTTTCAGACTATCTACGCCCAATACATTCATGTCCAAAGTAAGTTTTCGAATCTTTGTAACAGCATTAATAATCGTGTAGTCACTAAACCATAAAGTAAAAGATATATACAGACAAAGGATAGTTTGCGCGAACCTATGTACTCGGTTTTCAGATGTAGTGTCATACCTCCGGTAAAGACCGAACTGCCAGTATTCGGTTTGAACGCAGGACTGACGAACCAAAATTTATTCGATTAGACTGGACTACGTTCTTTTGTATAGAGTACGATGCGTTTTTGCGATACTTGTATTA